TATCCAATCAAAGTATACTCGACAATACGGGAAAAACCGCATTGATAATCAATTTGAAAATTATTGTTATCTAATTGAAGTTTATTATCGTTTAAAATTATTTTTAAATCCTCTATTTAAAGTTTTTGAATGGGATCATAAATTTTTAATTTGGTCTTTGTTGAGTCAGTTCGGTTTACCTCATTTTGAAACGAAAATTACATTTTTAGAATAAATTAGATATATATGTATAAATCTTCTTATTAATTACTAGGGCTTACGAGATAAGAGCGGTGTAAGAAGATTAACAATTGTTGCTCTTAGTTAATTGAATGAACAATGCGTGTATCACTTTCCATCTGGTGAGTTCTGTGTAATCAGGTAATCGGATCGGCACCTGCACCATTCATTGCGGTTGGATAAGTCTACCTAACAGTTATTTGACCTGTTCGGTGCTGCAGTATACGAGACACCTGCCCTAGGACATGGCCAAATGACAGTTCACATAGGTCACATTATACTAAGCTACGCCGTGTCAATAATGTCAGATTACTCCAATAGGTCTACTTCAAAATTATCTTTGTTTCTACTTATCTTTCCCGATTGTATTGTTTGATTTTCACCAATGTTTGATTTTCAATGCCATCCGCAAATAGATGCTATGCTTTAAGATTGTAAATTTATTATTGTTGTTGTTACGCATTTTCAACTGATGACATAGACTTTTTCATTCGTTTTGATATTAAAATTAAATAATATTGAAGATTTGTCGGGGTGAATGCCTATATTAGCAGTGTTCAAACTATAGTTCGCGGACTACCGATCAAGCTGACGATCAGTTAGATAGAAGTAAATAAATGTAACATTAATATATAATTGATTTAAACAGCTTTACAATTATTATTTATGGCACGAAGTAAATGAATTCTTTATTTTTAAATAAAGATTTAAATGCTTAATATCAAAAATAAGCATACAAATTTACAAAATTGAATACTGGCCTGGAGCAAAAAACAAAACGATTGCAGCAACGAGCAAATAAAATGCAAGTATACCAGAGGCCTTTGGTAAAGTTTTGCCTTATTAACGTGCAAAAAAGAGGGATACGACACTCGAAACTTAATCTATCTTGTCGTTGACGTCATCGGCAGCAAATCCTCATTTGTCCAGTTAAACCAAAAATGGTTAACATTAATTAAATTTATTATACGGCCGGATATATGTTTTTCCTCCCCTCTCACCTCCCGGTCGGTACTGAGTGAATTATGTCACTCAATCGTGCATTATGGACATAATTCAGACGGGCAATGTCAATATATAAAGGGCCACGCTTATGTGGTCTACCAATGTTACTCTTCGGATGTAGTAATTAAGGACGGTCAACTCATTTGCTGTACACTGATTACATTCAAATTTAGTAGGAAAATGGCTCATATTTTATCGGTTTTAATTTAATTAATGCAGATAACAATGTCAAAATATTGAATATAATGATATACAACTATGTTCTCTCGAACAAACTTCATAGTGGAATAAAAGTCTGTCCTACGTTTTCAAATTGCATTCGCCTAGGAAACAAAGAGTTAGAGCTTTAAAGTAGACTCGAAATTTGCATATTCAGGATGTTTACTTTGATCATGTAAACAATACTTTTTTCAATTATGAATGAGGCGTGCAGCAAAAATTGATGTTAATTAAATGGAAATATTGCATTCCCGTTTCTAATTATTGAAATTAGATGTGAAAAATAATAATAATAAATTTTAAATTATATCCGAAATGAGCCTATATTAACATCTGTTAGGGAAATCGATAAACAGCCCGAAGCAACAGATAATAATAAATTTTAGCCAAATTATTATTTGTAGATTTAAAACGCAATTATCGAATAGAGGAATAACGAGCAATTATATCAAAATTTTAGATTAGACTAATTTAACTAAGTCATTACTTGTTTGTCTTAGGATCAGACTAATAAATAATAGACTTAAGGTCGATTCTTAATGGAGATAATCGCTTATTTATTAGAGTATATTATCTGAAGATAAGTCTAAATTATTGTATATTTGCTAAAATATAGTCGAAGCACGAGTTTGGTGGCTAAAGTTTGCATTCTACATTAGTATATATTAATATTACGTTATCGTTCATTTTAATAGAAGAGAAGATACGACACGAATTCAACAACTGTCGAAGAATTAAGATAAATTAAACAGAGATTTATGACAGAAAAATAATCTGTAGTGTAACGTTTTATTTTAACTGTCTTCGCGTTTATACAGGCAGGTTTTTCATTTATACACATCCTATAAATTATTTCCAGTAGGTATTAATATTTTGTTATCAATAGATTATTTTTAAATCTCTTAAAGCGAATTTAATGGGCAGAGAAAACAAACAAACATAGGCCTACTAATAGAGATTTACGGGCATTGTACGAAAACAAAACCGAAAGAGAAAAAGGAAAAGAATTGTCGAGATATAAAGACGATAAGTGCTTATTATAATGTCAAAATTAATGCAATCGAATCACTTATTTAAAAGATATAATTAAGGGGGAAAAACGAGAGCAAACTTTGAACTTTTTTCTTTACATAACGATAAGCAGATAATAATTGTATTGTAAATCCGTAGTCAATTATCGTTTTAACTTAAAAGTAAACTGATTAACAATCAGAAAATAGCCAATATTCCGTTTGCAAATTGCCGAATATACTATACGAAATTGCATCGTAGAACAGAAATTGCAAGATATTTGTCAGATGTTCGTCCGACTGAACTCTATTCACTTCAGCTCGTAGCAGATAAATGAGTTCTCTTCAGAAACCAAATAGAACAACCACTTTAAATAAAAACAGAATGAACATTTGGTGATTTTTCACCGGTTCCTCTGACAGTTACATCTCTGTTAAGTGGGGCGGACAATTCAGTTTCTTTTCATCATTTTATCGTGTCAGGTGTGTCCAGGTGATTTAGTGAGTCACAGTCGAACGTCCTTTAGCTTCGGATCTATCAAAACCAGTTGGAGGCGTTTACAAGAATCAATTGGTTATAAAGTTCCGGACTCGACGACGTTAAGGGAAAAGATGTGTCACGTGATGCGACGTTTTCCTAGCTATTAAAGTGGAGAGTCGTGTTCTGCACTCGTATCTATTGTAAAAAGTCGATAGAGAAAGTTCGCTGGTAATTTGTCATTCGTTGTATTTTGTTTCCTAATACATATGGAACAGTGGCTATTATGGCTTAAACTGTCGATAGTTTCTCAATTGCCAACATTTATCTATGCAAATAAACGCATTAAGATTTTATTATTCTCTCTTTCTACACATAATATTTCTCATTAAGCTGCGAAAATTACCTAATATTTTCTTCAGATTTTAATTTTCCTAATAAAAAACTGCATCGACTTTGTTTATAATTAATACATCATTCTTAAAAGTGCTTATAATAATTACTTAGAACTGTATCGCAACCAATCCGTTTAATACATCTTATTAAGCTAGTTTTACAACTTTCGGTTCAGATCCGAAGAGCAATTAAGCTATAGAAATAGTCCAACTATAAAATTCCCGACCGCTATACAATTTATTGGAATTTATATATAATAAAATTACTAATGTCCTTAACAAGTAATAATATCTGTTACCGAAACACGTAATAACTCTAGGAATGCCTGTCTACGGCATATTGTCGACAGATAAAAGAAAGAATAGTTGGCAATCAAACTGTCATTGGTAATTTATTCGGTTACTCTGGACACATTAATGTATCAAAACAATCTTTTTCTGTTGTTAGTATTTTCGTCGAAACGGAATTATTAAAAATTCAGAGATGGCTTTCAACAATCCATAAATTTATAGAGACTCCTGTTTGACTTTAATGGATCAAATCTCCCCGTTTCACTTCCTCTCAAAACATAAATCAAGTCGATGCTTTTAAACAGCATTTTGCAGAAAAGAGACATTAGTTCTATTGAGAGATGATCTATGAGTAGATACTCGGCCAACGGACTCTGCTTTAAAGAAATTTGTCATCTAAAAGCCAACGGAATGCGCATTACTGCCATTTAAATGAAACATTTTTATATACGATACCTGAACATGCGACCTTATATACAAATGCCCAGTCCCTCCTCCAAACGGCCCGTTATAACTTGTTAAAATCTGTCGTATTGCCATCGAATTTTCACCTCGTCCAAATAAAACACATCCGAATAGCCTGCTACTAACCGGTAACATAACTTATCATTAGCCAACTTGTTTTCTATTTATAAATGATTTGTAGATGTTTCTGGGTGATATTAACGAGTTTGCATTCAATCTTTATCATCTTTTACAATTCTAAAACCGCGTAAACAAGGAAAAAAGTGCTTTTCTTTATTGTTTAAAATAGGCTTTATTTACGCGTAATCTCTCCATTCGCGGACAAAAAAAGCCGTAAATGAGAATTTTATCCGCGTCAAAAAGTAAATCTTCCCGTTTTATACGTAAACGGATTCGTTATTAATTACAAATTATATATTCATTATTTTAAACTCGATTTAAATACTAATACCGATAATAATCAGATTAAATATATATACAAAGTTAAAATAGAATGACATTAAATTTGTTGTATTCTTTACCATTTTAAAATAATTCGTACAAAATCGCGCTCGTCTGTAGCAAACAAGTTCGTACATGATTTTTTTCCCCCTAACCCAATTCCCATTGGTCAGAAGTGAAAGTGTCATCTTTCGAGACGTTCCATTAGTCTATTTTAGTGGCGTCACGGTAATTGACCGTCTTATTGGTTTTCTAAACGGACGTCATCAAAAACTACGCGTCGATTGGTAGACGGCGCCACGTCACCGATGACAACAAACCCATGCTTATACAGACGTGCGGTGTGGCGGCAAAGTGATTGTACAGTTCGGATGACCAAATACATCCTCTCGCTCTTCTCGACAAGACGTTCGACTAGTCACTAATCGGTAAGTCGCTTACGCTTTACTCCATCCCTTAAAACGTCGTAAACGCCTCATAATCGTATAATTAACGCCGTTGTCCGTCCGACGTGTTTGGACACGTCCATTTTTTAACGCTAGCGTTTAGTAAAGTATTTTCTAGTAAAGGAATAAATTAAAAGCCAAAGTTTCTAGCAGAACTTGTCTTACAAGAAGCGAGGTGATTATTCTGCAGGGTCCTACTTGCCTGCAGGCGACGACGCCGCTCTCCAAGGCCACCCTATCCGGGCCTGGATGCGTCTTGTCAATGACCCCCTATTTACAATGGACCTATAACTGCGCTGCTGGTACGATGCAGATCTATCGTCTTACACACACACAGAGCTGTCAGATTGTTTTATTTAACCATCGAACGTTTTATCCTTATCTTAAATTTATTCGCAAATAAATGCGCAAAAAACAACAGGATATAATCCCCGACGTCACACTTGTAAGGAGAGGGCGTTAATATTGACGGAAAGAATTCTCCTGGGTTTATAATATAATATTAATAATAATAATAATAAATTAAAATTTATTGGGTGTTTACCAATCGTTTTAATATTAATTATTTATATTATTAAAAAATAATTTTCGAGTGGCTCTGCTTATAGGTGGCGTATTGTTTATGTCGGATGTGGTTAAGACGGATATCGCTGTCGTAAGTGTCGTTTGGGGAACGATTTTGCGTCATAATACAGCTAATTAGCTATTGTTGGCGTTAAACGGTTGTTATTTAATCTTGTAAACGGACTGAAAAGCCGACTTTTACTGTTTTATAAGTTTATTTGTTTCGAAATAGCCGCCTTTTTCGGTCAGTGGTGATTGTTTTTATCCTTTTTATCGCCGACAGATGATGGAATATTGCGGTTTGGACCCGTTTCCCGGCACTTCGACAACTTCGGCACCTCCGAACGAAGCCGATAGTGGATACGAACCGTCGCCGTCGAGTACCTCCGGGCCAAATTCCATGTTTAACTTCGAAGAAGAGGACAGTTGTAGCGAACCCGACGACATGTTTAATCTGCATTCTCCCTCCGAAGACGACAGTGATGAGGATTTTCGAAGCCGCATCGCGGGCCACTCGACCAGTTCGCCCATACCCATACCGTTTCCAGGTCGACAGATGCTTCTAAGTAACTCTACACCCAGATTAGGATATTCTATAACTCATTCGCCGTTTAGAAGATTGTCGTGTCCGCAGATTTTAAACACCGGACTGGTCAGGGTTATGAGACACGTTTCTACGCAAACGTGCCCCGACCGAGATCGGGATGTAGGTAAGAGACACTTAAAAACACGCGACGACAATGACAAATCTGTCCAGTCGGTCCCTGTTATTACTCTGTGGCGTAACAAGTGGGTACCGTTCACCTGTTGAGTCTTGGCCGTCGGAAATTATTCGGAGCACGTTCGATTCGACATCTGCACTCCGCGGTTCATTAAAATTCAGCCCGAGTCACTAGGGGTTATTAAAACGGCAGACGATGGCCATGCCAGGTAGACGGAACCCGCCGTAAGCTGGAAGTTTGCCAAAAAGATCAAGTCAAGATGTCTGACTCATCCAGATTTTGTACTTTGCCAGTCGTGTGTTCCAGCTGTCGCTAGTATTAACCCCGGAAATTTAGACTGCGCCGTTTTACAAAAGTACTTGACCTATATTTTGTTGCTCTCGGTAATTGTTTTTTCTTATTAAACGACGTGTAAAACGTTAGTCTTCACCTGCACGGTCCGAGTGGCAGGTATTAGTTTTTCTTCGGTCCTTTCTGTTTTGATAAATCTGTCGTTGATATATTTTCAAGGACAGAACCGGGGCTGATGGGTAATGTTCCTTTGGAGGTCAGTAGGGTCATCTAGCGCCTGCAGCTGGGAAAGGTTAATGCGAAAACAAATGCGTTTGTCTGCATTTTCGTTTTATTTGCGCGGCCGCGAAATAAATACGGCGTATTCGACGTTTATCTTTATTTGTTTTTTTTTTCAGTCGATGACGAACCCAGGTTAGCGCCCGTCCGTGCTCCGTTACCAGATGTTGTGCAACACAATGGCAGTAGGTCTGGTCACGTGGAACGTGCAAGATCGGCTTCTGTATCTCTTCCTGTCGGTAGCTTGGATACGTCTAACATAGCAGTATTTGGTCGGAGGCTGAGAAGACTTAGCGATGACTTCGAGAGAATGAGATCGGCATCGGGATTAAGTGTAAGTATCGTCAGATCCTTTTATAATTATAAATTATCGCAGACTTTTTAGAAACTGTACTGTTATCTCGAGTTGTACGTGCGTATGTATGTATAAACGCTTTAAGATCAGGTGTTAGCGTGGGGAGGGGTTATTGTATCATCTGTTCCCACGGTTTTCCCGCACCTGTCCCTAAGGACCAGGTGGTCGGGAGGGCGGAAACAAAACTCTCGTTCCGTGTTTACTTCGCAAACCCCCGTTTTCGTTTAAATATCTAACCATTCTGTTTTTCTTTTTGCAGCTTCTCTTCCAAGGTAGATCGCGACGTTCGCGATCTTACTCGCAGAGTGACACGTGACCCCCGGGAGTAGCCGAGTAGCATGCCAAAGAAATTTCCTGTTGGACTTTTGCTCAACCAATAGAGATAAAGTCACACCCAATTACCTCACGCTCGAAAATTGATGTGACAGTATTGCTCTTCTCGTACCTAGTCGATTATTATATAATATTGAGAGACCAAACAATATTTACGCGAACTTGGAGCAACGTAGTATTTATATAAAGAAATTCAGTATTTTTGTTTTCTTTTTGAAGACATATTTGTACATAAACGAATTTTTTGCAGCCATGGAAAAAATATACAATTATATATTATATTATATATTTCACTATTGATCTCGTACCATGTTGTGATATCCATGTTTTTGTAGTCAAAGCTACTAACGTGATATATTAGTTTTTTTCTACCTTTTTTCTATTTTTTGTACATACGTTTTTTGTAATTCTAACCTTTTTTGTATTCGCCGCATTCTTATTTTGTTTAAAATTTATATTATAAATAAATTTTTTCAATTTTTGAACAATTAAAATGTGTGCAGAACTCGACCGATACGTTGGCTTTCTCGGCAATCTCGGATGATTCACTTCGAAATAAGTTTAAATTGTAAATTTCAGCCACGGCCGATACAAATTCGAAAGGGTTCGTTACCGACAAAAGGGTTGATAACTCAATTATCGAAAGTTTTGACACTAATTACGGCTGTATCGAATTTTTAAATTGTAGACGGTGGCTAGCGAGGCGCTAATTCTTCGATGGAAGCGTGTGATGTCGTTATCTGACATCACTTCCGTTATTAATCTTCCGCCGTAACTTCCAACGAGATCCGTAACAATCGGGTAAATCGTCTGTTAAATGGAAAATCTGCCTAAAGCATTCTAATTTACTTTATCTACAAAAACATCGTCACGCGAAAGAAGACTTCGGAACGTTGTTTACTCGGCTTGGGTTACCAGTGCCCATTTTTTACTTGAAAAATTCGGACGAGCTGGTAGAAACTTGGACATAATCCGTCGAAAAATAAAAATACTTGAAAAGCCTTACCGATACATTTTTCATCATTCAGATTATATTTCGCTCTCGTTATTGGTAAAATTCAGACGGACCGCGTGACAGTAATATCGATAACGCGCTAGAACAATACAAATAAATAATACCTGGATCGGAAATAATAATAATAATAAATAAAACAGAATTCCCGGATTACAAATTTAAGTGTTTTTCAATTCCGATATTCAAACGGGCAAAGACTTAAGACTGCGATTTAACCAGGTGTTTTTATTTACTATTAAAGTATCGTGCAGGGTACAAAATGTTTACGCATTACGGGTCACTATTGTTGTAACCCCCCGCTCAGAACGTTCTGTTAGAAGGCAATTTTCAATTTAAAAACACCTCTTACAAATCTAAGTTATTTAATTACATTAATCTAAATAATAATACAGTACTTCGGCTTTTGAATATTTATATATTATCGGAATAAAAGTTTCTTTAAATAATATAATTCTCCCCGTTTTACCGTTTATTTATTCCTCGGTATTACGCAAATAGCTCGGTGGGGCCTAGACAAATACGAATTAGGGGTCCCCCGTCGGTGGGGGGACTCGGGGCAATTGTCCTTTTTGCCCGTAGAATTACGCATCACCGGTATTACGGTTTAATAACGGGTGGGTAAAACAACAATTTAATAAGAAGTGGAGTAGAAACTGGTTAAGAGTAATAAATATTCTCCCGTTTAAAATATTTTCTTAGTTTTGAAAGAAAAGGAAACGATAAAATTTGATTTTAATTTTGAACTAAAAAGTAAACCTTACGTACAAGGTACAGTATTTCGATAAATGTTTACATTATTTTATGTAACAAAGCTTCCGATAAAAAGTAAACCGAATTTTTGTTTTATTCAAAACATAACATTACTGGTTTATCAAATAGAGAATTATTACTCTTTAAATAATTTTTAAGTTTATTATATACAATAAATCCCTGGTAAAGACAGCTTTTGCTCGGAACCGTTGCTGGTGGCAAATTGGCGTCCTAAGAGGACTCGTATCGCGGGCCCAAAATAGCCAGAGACCAGGATCCAATACACCCGTAAAATTCCCGGAGTTGCCGACCGGGATTCGATCCCGGATCTCCCAGAGCGGTAGACCGACGCCTAAACCGCGTGGGTATAGATTTCCACAATTTATTAAAATGTTAGTTATTAAAAAAGCAATCTGGAAAAATTTTATTTCTATAAAAACTTATAGAAACAATGGTCCGAACTTTTATGGTTATTAATAAATATCGATATATTTCGGTATAATAAAGATTTTTATTAATATATCTATCGATATATTAATAAGTTTAGCCGTGCGAACGGTAAGAAAAAAGTAGAAAATAAGAATAAAAGAGCGGGTCTGAATTTCTTAAGAGTCGTGACGTCAGCCATTAATAGTCGTCTGCAGAGAACAAAGATTAAAAGTGGCTTCCTGCATTTCTCATTGTTCCTATGGTAACGGAAGCAAATGCCCGTTTGACGAATGATTTCAATGGAAGGGTTAAAAGTGAGCGTCAGGAAGGATGCTCCATTTAACACTACAGGAAGACAGACCAGTCTCTAGTCATTAGTGCCTCATGCGTAAGTAAATAATATTTTGCTATTTCCATAAATTAACGGAGTCGGAAGTCGTCTGCCTCTAATGGCGGCCACCGACGGAGAAAAGCGCCACCTAGTTTTGTAATAATGAACGTAGATCATTAAGAGGTGTCCGTGTCGGAAACGGGATAAAAAATAATTCCGTCGGTAAAAAAAGATTTCCCCTCCTAACGCTAATGCGTCACTCTGATGGAAACCTTATGCTAATAGCGACGAATTGTGTTTCTTAAGATAACAATACGCGATACAAATAGCATCTTTTGAATATGAAATAAACCGATATTAATCTGCGCCTTTAAATGGATGCCAGAAAGGGTGCCATTGGGACGCCTGGCTAAACTTAACGACTTCTTTTTTCTCTTTTAAAAAGATTTTACGTAGAAGAATGCGACGGATAAAATCATTTCTTTCCTACGATCCAATATCATTTTCATTCATTTATTAGGGTCGATGATGCTTTTTCGCCGTTTTTACATCCAACGCATAAAATTAAATAATAAATGAGCTTATTTATTTAAAATCGAAGTCGTGTTACATTCTTAGAAATGAAAAATCCTTTCCAGTCCGATCGGTTGGCCGTTCTCGATTAAGTACGGAAGAGATGTCCTTGTTTCGATGTCGAGATCGATCAGATAATTATTTGTATCGCCAGATTGGTTTCAAAATCGGTTAATTGTAATTATCGGCATTAAAAAATGCGCCCTCGAAATGCCATACGTAATTTTCGATAAACGCTTACGTAACAGTGGTGTATCGCGTTACGTCACACTTCTTAAGATTTCTGTTAATTATAATTCGTAAAGTAGAGGCACTTTGAAGTAAAATCTGTATGTATTATTCGGAAGCGATTTAATGGCTTAATTAAAAACGTAGCCCAACAGTTAATTTGTATTTAATAAGGTATAAATCGACGGCAATTAGTAATTAATTGATTTGGATAGGAGAACGACGGGTTTACTGGAGCGGCTTTCGATACCGAAGTTTTACTATTAAAAATAATAACGAGACACACGCGGGTATCGTCGCCTAACGAGCATCCCGACGGCGTCACCTTCTACTTCCGTATCTATCTGGTTGTTGCGTGAAGTAATTAGCGTAATTATCCCCTTATTAAGTATTGTTCTCTGTCCGTTAACCATATCGAGTGGCTGTGACGATCTGACGGAAGCCAGCCTATAATTTTACATCTTCGCGCTTTAAAGCTAGAAAAATGGGGAGCGAAAAAGATTGGGACATTTCCATAAATCGAACGTATAGCGAATTTCCTTTCCTCTGGCCGGTCACGTGACTAGCCAGTTTATTGAAGATGATTTAATTGTAGTTGCTAAAATTACAACCGATTACATTTGCAACGACAATAAAGATCACTTAAAACGAAATTTATAGCCAATAAGTTTCCCGGCTTTTGTTAGATGCGGTCCTGTTACGTGAAGTGACGTCAGTCTCGAGTTGTCGTGTGACTGACACGTGACTAGCGTCGTAAAACTTAAATGCGAACGTCCGTGATTTTCGGATGGCAGAAAAAATTATTTCATCTCGCTGACAATAAAAGCATCTTTTGTCTTCTCGTTTTTTTATTCTCCTACGCGTATTCTTAATAAAATTTATAGTTCTAACATGCGAGAGGGACAAAGTAACGAGTAAAAAATAAAGGGGGCGGCGGGACTTTAACTCTATCGAGGTCTTTAATAAACGTTCGCTCGACACTGACGCCAGAAGGCAATAAAATTCCGTGTATCATTTGTTATCGAAGTCTCGTTTGACTGAATCTCATCGGTTGTATTCTATCCTCTTTACATACGTCTGAAAAAACCACCGCTTCCGCTTCGGAAACGTATCTGGCGGCCGGAAGTTAGCAGATTGGAAAGACGGAAACGGAAGTGACGAAGACATTGCGTCATTCAATTGCCCACATGTCAAAAACGTGAATTCGCTCAATCGAAACAGAATGGTGCAGATTTTTATAACAACAAACCTTGATACAAATTGAAGTCGAAGCGAAAGATTAATTATTCATACAAAGAGGGGAAACAACACGCGTCATTACTCAATACTTCTTAATATCTGTACCGTACATATTGAGATTTATAATGAGCGAATTGATAACAAAATGTTCGTATAAAGTTACTTTCTTTTAAATGAAATCTTTTGATAGCGATTATCTCTCTTGACACAGCACCATCTGCTAGGAAATGACACTTCTCTCATTGCCATTTTGTCTTGTTAATTCATTATATTTTCAATATTCTGCATTCAAATCATAAATATCCCAAACGACACAATAAATTTATTTATTCTAACTCATTATAAATTAACCCATTAATAGAGAGATGCTATAAAATTACCATTAAACAATGTAAAGTATATTTATTGTTGTTATTTTTTAAAATGTATTAAAAATACTCTCTTATAAAGCCACTAATAAAGAAAAATATTTAAAATTAAATATCTATATTTTTTATAAATAAACTACAGTACACAAAAAATAGTCTTAAATAATCAAATATTTCTTAATTAATATTTTTAATAATAAAATTATAAATTTATTTAGAAAGGCTTCTCAATATTGAGACTAATTTATATTAGAGATATTTCGTGTGTTAAGAAAAAATATAAATTGTATAATACAGATTTTAACAATCTTCATAATTCTTTCTAATATAACTTGTAGATTAAAATTGATTATTTTCCAGTGAACTATATTGAAAAATGTACAATTTATTTAAAACAAACTTTATTATTATAATTAGCTATACCCTCTGCTTTAACGGTACTTCACAATATTTATAAAGATTATACAAATGAAAATATATTTCTCGATAATTAAAATGAATGCAATGAGGTCAAATGCATTTTCTTTTTTCTTAAATCTAGGACCAATCGAAATAATTACTTGGAGTAATTATTTAGTATTATATATACTTGGGAGTTCGTGCGGGAATAAAAGATTCCTCCCACGATGACGGTGGCGGAAATATGAAATGCGGTAATCGTTTGGTCACAAATTATTTTCTAAGCAGAACTCGAAACTGCTAACTTTTTCAGATGATCCATAAATACTTGAAGACTTACGTCGTCGGTTAAAACTGGAGCGCAAGCACCCTCCTGAAACAGACAATTTTCCTTAAGTAACAATGCTGGTATAAATACTAACTTACTATAAATAATTAACTTCGTTCGTAAATAAATATTTTTAAATTAAAGTCGAAAGTTTTCATCGGTAGTCCCCTTTCCCATCACCAATGCTAACAAAACAAATAATAAATACCGTTGGATTAGGCTGTACTTGCTGATATGCCATTCCAGTATATAAAGTTTAGGGAAGAATGAAAAAAACAAAAAAAGAAACAACATTGAACAAAATATTTTAATGGGAAAAAATCATTTCTATAAAATAACTGTTAAATCCATTGGATGTATTCATTTAAAAAATTGGTAACTCAAAATTATTATTAAAAAACTTTACAAAATCTTGTAAATATATGAAAACAATAATAAAGCAAGATATTTAAAATAAATTAAACGATATATTTTAAAACTAAATTAATTATAATACTGTTATTTGAAGAACAGAAGTGTATCATGCCTCATTTAAGAATTAAGATCTGAAACAAGTTTAAAGTAGATTCTATCCTTTCTCTCTTAGATGCCTCATCTCCTCTTAGTATCTTTGGGTTAGCAAGAGATTAATAAACATAATTTTATGTTATTTCCTAAGAAAATACTTTTTGAAATATAAGATATACTTTTAACATTTTAAATCTTTATTCGAGGAACTCGGATTTTATAAAATGTTCATTTTACAAATTTTTGAAATTTTGTACGAGAACGAACAAATACGACTTTTACATAAATCAATGGTTTATATATCGGTCTATCCGAATTCTGACGGTGAAAGAATTTTTACGGCCCATAAATATATCCATAGTTTCAAAAATATTAATAGTGCTTGATAATGTTTGTACTTAATATCATATTACTATAAATACATTTGTAAATTTTCTATTTTCAAGACTATCCATAAACTGTTCTTATTACTTAAAGATATTATGTTACATACTATATCCTTTTATTTACAGCTCCTTCATCATCTTAGACGTAGGTTAGAAAGTGCTGATTTATGTAAACAGATATTAAAGAAAAATGTCTATGTTTCAGTTTTAGTGTATAAAACAATTTATTTTTGATCTTAATAATCATTGCTGATTTTTAAAAAAATTCCTCTTGGTATCTATTAATTTTAAAATATATTATTGAATAGATTCAATATATTAAAACTGTTATCAAATAGACCAATTTTTCATTGAATTTTTAGTTTTAATATATACATCATAATTAACATAAGTAAATTAGCAAAAAATTAATTAATTTACAAAGATTAATTCTGATACAAAATCATTACTTAATCTGAAATGTTCCCATGTCTACCAAATTTAATTTTGTGTTTTTAGACACATTTATTTTTGTTAGTTTTACTGAAAATTTTATCAAGTCTACTATTTAAATATCATCATCAATTTAAAAATAATTTTGATCTTTACAATTGAGAAGCATGATATGAGGCATTAACACACATTACATTAAAATATTATAGTTTTGAAATCTGCTAGAAAAATAAATAATTAGTGCAACAAAAGTTATATAAACTGATATATTCATAAGTTATCCAAATTTATAATATTCATCTTACACTGAAATATAAGATACTATAATACTAAATAATATAATTAGTAAATATTGAATATGTATTTAGTGAATATACATGTATACTTTAAACTATTTTACACTAATGTGCCTCTAAAATATATTACAATGGGCTAAATAATGGCTGATGTGGTTAAGGAGTCATCTGACTCTGACCACCTCAGCCATTATGACCTTATGAATTTATCAGAGGATGGTCTGTCCCAGATATGTCAGGTCTCATCCAGCCACCCCATTGTGGGTCTGGTTCAACACATGACGGATCTGAAAAAGATCCTCTTAGTGCCAACAGGGTAA